AAGGAAAAGCTGCACGGACTACAGATGAAAGCAAAAGAAAACGTGAAAACCTCGTTTACTATGTGCTTATCGGATCGCAAAATTCAGTCCGCCAAGCAGATTGGTTACGTCAAACGCAATGCCAGCCAGGGCCGATTGTCAATAGAACTGGCTTCCGACCTTATTGTGTAACATTACAACTTACCGGAAACAGGAAAAGAAGGCTACAGTCTATCGAACCGTGCATCCGATTGTTCAGAGCCAATTCCAAAGCCACTTCAACCCGGGCGGTGGACGGTCAGACGGAGAACGCCGTCTACGAGGATGCTAGTCAATTCGAGGCCAACATACTACACCGCAGCCGTGAGCCAAAGAGGAAACCTGTCAGTAGAATTAAAATCACGTATGAGCTGCATTGATGCAATTAGAAAACCTTTCTAATAAATGGTGTACAAAGAAAACATCAAGGCGTATCATAAATGTTCGTAGCAAGAAATTTGGGTGTGACACACAACCTAACCCCACATTGTATAGCAGAAATAAATTACCAAGCACGGAAGCTTACCTTGCAGTTTAAAACTCGGATATTCCCAAGTAGTCCAATAATTATTCACTGATTTTTACATAATTTGTACCTGTTCGGTATCTTGGTCTGAAACACAAATTTGCCTCCATGCGTTGGCTTCTGATTTTGGCTGTTGGAACGTTTACAAATAACTAAACACTTTTCCCCGGTATTGTTAGGCACATGTACGAAGTTATGATCGTGGCAATATAAACAGGTAAGGTTGGTTATTTTATAGAAATATAGCGTTAACCAGTAAATTATTTTATTTGTGTGTCTGTTTATATATGTACGTGAAGCATACGTGGGCCTGGTGAGGTAACTTCACTGTGTGACTGATTTCGTGAGTATGTTTGCTGTATTCGCCATCGTCAGAATGGATCAAAAGAAAGCTTCGAAAAGGCTGACGTTCGCGAAGGGGCGTATGTCCTCCGGAAGAGGAAGTGGTGGTGACTTTATTTAGTGGCGCGTCACATACGCCACTTCGCAGTGTGGTAAAAGGATGATTGTCAGTTCAATCGGAATCGCGCAGACTGAGGGTGGTTTTAGCAGGGCCAACCAAAGGCAATAAAAATGCAGCTCTTGTGCTGGTGCTGCTTATTAAGTCCAATATAGTTTCAAGTTGGAACCGCATACCTGCCTGTGTTCACCTGCAGCCGGTCGGGCAGCCTGCCTATAGTATGTTTGTTCAGGGCAATTTTGTGCCCTGTCGCCTTAACAGAGCTACACTTGTTCGAGTGATGCGACCTTGACATTTATTTCCGAGTACTACATCACTGTCTGCATCGATACGAAGGTGGACAAAGTGTCAGTCCATCAGCTGTCTCGACTCAGATTGCTGGCTACACCGGGCTGCTAAACGCTGCTGAGTTGAGCAATTCCTGGGACGGTACTGAGATCCTCGTTAGAAGAGCTACTACCAAGCCATCGCCTTACGGTCGTTCTTTCCTAGGCGGCATTAATGATGAGTGCGCTGAAGTGGTACATGAAAGCCCTGATTTAATCGTGGTCCCCCTCTGCATGGCTTCGGCTTTCGATGAACATGGGTTAGTGAACAGAGATGTGGGTGATGTAGTGAAAGCCAGCTGTGTGCGCAGGTGCCCCCTGGCTGTGATGAGCTAATGTGAAAAGGGATGACGTCACTCATGCACCATCTATAACCGAAATGGTGATGATTACGGACCCTCTCAAACCGAACACAAGCCGGTAAACAAGATGAAGTAAGATGTTTATTTCACAAAGGTAACAGTATAAAATGAGTACACCACATCTAAAGCATTCCGGGTACAGATATCTGAAGTAGAGCTGGAACATTTGGGTCGCCAGAGAAGGACAAATGCAAGTCAGATAAGCGCAGCGGAAAGCTACGAAGGGGCGGTTTTTCTCTTCTTCCCATCTGCGACTCCGCCCTCAGTAACGCTCCCGGTTAGGGTGGATGGAGCCTTGCGTTTAGGCCCTCCAACGCCGGCACCTCCGCCGGGAACACCGGCACACACTGGACCAGTTTGATTGGGGCCACTTACTGCACGAGATTGTTTAGATCGATCATCCATATCGCATATTTCCCGTTCAATGAGGGTGATTAGAGTACTGCATCGTCGTTGAAGTTCCTACGGAGAAGTAAAACAGAGATATGAACAAATCGAGGGAAGTGTTGGAGGGATAATGTGATTAAATAAAGGGAGAGTGAAGGTGAGGTTATCGGTGCACTACTCGCGAACCTGAATTCGAATGTGGTAACGATCGGAAATTCAAGATTGCATTGAATTCACTGTAACGCAGCAGTTAGTATTTTCAATGCCCACAGAACAATCGGTAGAGGGTAGGTAAAATACGAAAGGGTACAATAGCGCAGCCGCTATTTGGATGTTCAGCGACAAAAGCACCCTTTTTCCTGAGTTTAGAGTGCCAGAGAGCCAAAGCGCAAGAGGCTAACATACGTGTTGCTAGAAGAGGCTGAAGTTAGACGCATATCTCAGAACTGTGTCACGTGAACGAACAGAGAGACGAATAAAACAAGTGATTGAGGCAGTATGAGTTACGATGAACACTGTAAAATGAGCTGAAGATCGACAGGATGCCAGATGATTAGAGCGAACTAACTGATGCATAGAAGGAGCATACCATGGCTGTGCGAGATCGAAGGAACCAGTCAAATCGGAACTGTGGAGCCAACCGAACAGCCAAACGGAGATCGTCATACACGTTGTCCCGGTCGAAGCCGAGTTTGTGAAGCATACAAATTAGGAAGCGATCCTCTTCTTCCACATAATTTTTGCCTTTGTTTGTTCCATATTGAATGCGCAACTGATGAAAAGGGGCACGGTATCGAGCCATTTTCAGATCTAATGCCCGTTTAACAGCGGCGCGCCTTTGGATTTTTGCCTCGCCTCGTTCGATCTATATGAATAGTGCAGATAGACTTAGGTCAGTGAGCATAAGAATTCCCGATGTTTTAGTTAGAGCAACGTTCAAGTGCTACCTTCGAACCAAAAAAGACACGATACATACACATGCAAACGAATATAGTTTCGATGGGAATCTAAATCGCCAATGCTTAAAGTTAGATAAGTACAGATTGGAAGCCATTAAAATGAGCATAAAGCCCGCATCTAAACCATATTCCAGTAGGACAGTTAGATGAGCGCAGGGTCCACCAAATCCAAGTTGCTGTAACTCCGACGCGTGTCACTACGCGGGTTGATGATAAGGATGGTTATGGTATAGTGTCCACAGTCTCCGAACCATGTTTACAAAAGTGCTTTTGAAAGTAATTACAACAGCAGTCGCAAAGAATATGTGTCGAGTTCACGTGTGGACGGTGGTAGGGAAAGGAATTGTGGGCTGCATGAGGTAATCCAGCGGTTAGCGGTTCGAATCTGCAGTGTCCCAAGTTCGCGAGCGACTGGTGGCGGTCGTGTGGCACCGAAACGTCAATGCGGTGCGTTGGTGGACAGTCGATGCCATTCCCATTTCCCCTTCTTTATGTGCGGGATGTGGTATGGTAATTCTGAACTGATTCCGATTAAGGAGGTGTAAGAACGGAATAGGAAAACAACACTTTCCGGCTATTAGAAGAAAAGGGTCTGTGACACTTTAAGATCATCAACCTTAGATGATGATGCAGAACCCAACGTCTTGAGTTGAGATTAAAATGTGCAACGTGTTAAGTACTAGAACGTAGAGCATGACTCCATAGTTCTCTAGGCCGTCAAACTAGGTAATGCTGCTAACAGGCGCGTACTGTTTCCAAACATGTCCAGAGGACAGTCTAGCATGTGTGGACCAAAACAGACACCTTGGAACAGAAAACATGGCAGAATAGAACGGTGGGAGGATTCTTCGGTAGTCACAGAAACAGAATACCAGTCAAGTGAATGAGTTACTTGGTGAGTAGATATTCAGGTCGCAAACTCATGTATGAAATCGGTTAGAAAAACAACGGAAATCCAGACTGTGACGAACATCGGGAAGCCCAGTGAGTGCGTGAGCCAACTATGAGAAGCAATCTAGCGCGAGAATCCACTAGCGTCGGTGATTAGATGCGGTCTCGTAGGTCTAACATACACAGTATGTTAGGATAAGGAAGCTTCAAGGGCAGCATCAGTACGAATATCAGATTCGCAACGGATCCAAGCACAGTAAAGATGTACCGAACTATTGTTGGCACACTGAATGGTGCAGTGCATGAAATCGGTGTTGATGTATGGAAGGTAAAAGTTTGTAGTTTATCTTAAACTGGACCAGCGCCATCACCCAGCAAAACCCAGCCATCATCATCATCATCGGTGACAGTTAAGGACATATAATTTGTACAATTCTTGTTGACCACATCGCCATAAACCAGAGATAGCTCTAATAATGTATGAGGTTGAAAATCAAAATAAGGATCTAAGCCGATTGAGGAACATTCAAGGTCAATAAGACTATGGCTTAAGAGCACCCAAGGGAAACAGATGAGTGGTCACAAGTAACTTGGTAACAGGTAGTTATAAAAAAGCATAGCCAGGAAATGACCAAACAAATCACTGGTGCCAGTTACTCGTTATGTCATGCAAAGCAGAATGAAATATGCCCACACCAATAAGGTAGTATGAGGTCTCATTTTTCAGTACCAGATCAAACATTCCTCTGACCATGAAGCTCAAGTCATACAATTTTTGTGACCAAGTCAGGTGGTGAGCGTATACATCCTGCCTGAAATGACACAACCCATTTAGCCTACATAAATAACGAGATGAGAAGTTATTTTTCTCTGCGTAGCTCACAACATCTTCACTGTCTTTTTCGGTGAACTAAAAACAAACTGATCGTCATGGCGTAGAACTTGCCAGCACGACCCGTTGCTGCACATGACAAGAAGCAAAATCCGGTAGCCAACGATGGCCAATGATATGAAGTATCGGGGACGAAGTCGCACTGACATTCAGTCCAGTGTAGCTGAACAACCATGATCCGGGTGTCGAAGTGCGGTGGATCCAGTTGCCAACATTGACGTTGCCATAATAATAATAATAATAATAATAATAATAATAATAATAATAATAACAAATAATGGCGACAAGAAAATGGGATTTAATGCGAATAGATTACATAAAAGGAAAATGCATAAATGTGCAATGTGGAAATTGGCAACCAGATGAAAGAAACCAAATGCAGGAATGCCACTAACTGCGCCATATCTGATACGGTTTCCACCACCCACTGGAGTAGACCACTGCACACACCCCATCAACTTGAGTAACTCTCTCAGTCAATTTCTTCAAGCTTCTATGCCATGTTATGGACTGGTCACCTTGTGGTTTCTCTCAACATGGTTCAGAAACGGCATATAATGCACGACGTGGGAGTTGGTAGACTGATATTCCGAGGACATAATCTTGTCAACGTAAGCGATTAAGATTCAACAAACACTCGAGCGAGGCACCAGAAGGCTTCTTGCGAAAATCCAACTGGCGGACCTCAGCACTGCTCACCCGGTGTTCCCACCGGAAGTGAGCAATACTCCGCAAGCACCGGTGGTCAAAGACGACCAAGCGTTTAATGTCTTCATTGAGAACTGGCCAGGTCTCTGACCTGTACAGTAACGAAGGCCATATTGCGACATTATACACCCTAGGTATCAGTAACAGGCTGAAAACCCACAGATGGTTGAGCCTCGGAGATGCCACAAGGATCTCGCTGATACGCGAAGTAACTTCCAGAGGTGGGACAGCTGCCAGGTGAACAGCTTCATCATTTTTAGTGGCTGTTTGTTGTTCGCTAAAAGCAGCGGCGTATCCGCCCAGTTTTTGGACAAAAGTTGGCATTTTGAAGGTGCAAACCACATGCCGGACCGTGCAGTGCTACGCAACAGTCAGGATTATGTCGACGAGAAGACATACTAATGTGTTCAGAAAGAAAGCGAACTCTTGAAATAGCACGCCAGTGGGCAGAGAGAGCGCGCTGAAGGTGTTTGTCAGAAACGGGGCAAACCCCAATGACACCCGTGGGGACCACGGGTAGACGGTTGGTGCAAATCGGTTAGCGTACGAATGGGATGAAAATAAAGAAAAAGGCATACGTTTTCTCCTGTCCGTCTAGCAGTACGCAGTGGAAAAAAGACGGATCCGAGGCTGCACAGTGGTCGAAACTTGATATTTTGTGATGCTTACAGGTCAGGACCAAGCACAGTGCACAGACCCTACTGCAGGCCAATTGTTGCCAAATTATTACGGTCGATAAATTCTCCATATTAAGCTTACATAGTTCTTGGTGCAGTACCACCGTTAAACAATACAGGTGATGTCGCTGCTTCCATAGATATACAACCGTTCCAATGGCTTATACACACTTCATAAAAGTGAGGTCAGAGTAGCAGCCTCAAGAAACCGGTTTAGGCAATATTTACTAATTTAAGTGACTATGCGCAGCAAGAAATGTTTACTAGGGCCAGTTTTGCGACGCGCACCTAGCAAGATACGCTACGAAGATATAGTCTGAGCAGATAGTGTCGGCTTTCAGGAATCCATGCGCAACGAAACCTTCCGCGTGTCAACTGATTGTCGTCGAAAGGTCGGTATTTGGAACTCTTCGTAATACCAGCTCCGTTTAAAGAGCAAAAATAATGAAATCCAGAATTAAAACAACGAAAACGGCAAGTATGCGCTCTGAGAGAACAGCCTGCACCGAAAAGTTGAGTATTCGCTATACAACATGAGGGACAAAATATTCCTCAATCCACCTGAGGTCTTGTCTGAAGCAAATATCAAGAGTGGTAGTGATAAAGAAGCACGAGGCATATCTGAAGTTGAATAACACAACTAAGGTTGGACGCTGTCCGTTGGTTTAAATGAAGAGACCCAACGCAGAATAGGCGGACAGAAAGACAAGCTTGTGCCTCCCAAAAGGATTGAAGACAGTTGAGCGAGCAGAATCAGCAATTAAAATTTTAGCGGCCTTGCGTACATTAAGCACGTTGTGGAACCAGGTGTGCGCTGGACCGAATGTAACGGAAGAACGGAGCGTGAGGACGAATAAGATCTATCAGCAAGGAGGTCAAAATCTAGCCAGAGAAAAGCAGCTATAACGAGATAGCATTCTAAATTTGCGTGTTACATGTGACCTTAAGGGATATGAACAAGAGCACTTTGGTTGCTGCCAAGAGTCCGATTTGATTCTCGGGGCTACTCGAAAGGTGAGTTAATGAAATAGGGAGCAGAAAGTGGCTACATGATGTGCGATGATGTATGGTGATATGCTGTCTGGTGATTACGTACGTTATAAGATTGATACAGACTGGATTGTGATGTGTGGTGAAAAATGGAGATTTCGTAACAAATGACGACGGTCTGCTCAAAAGTTGGAACAGGAACAAGTTGGACAACACTTCGCAAAGTTGAAATTGCACCCACAAATGTTATGACGAGTTTTTGTCCGTTTGCGGCTGTTCTGATGCATCAAAGCTTACCGAATTCAGGAGTATTGTCAAAAAGGTTGAGATACACGGAAAACCACTACACGTGTCCACTGTCAGTCGAAAGAAAAGTGCCAATCCTCTATGATAAAGCTCAGTCGCACGTGAAAAAGTAACCCTGTCGAAGCTGAACGAACTACGTTACGAAACTTTGCCTCATTCTCCAAAGTCCCCTGGGCCTTTGGTCTACCGATTACCACTTTTTAAAACATCTGAATAACTTTATCCGAGAGGACTGTTTTAGGACTCAATGGGATATCGAAACCGCATTCGATGATTTAATCACCTTCTGAAATCGGAATGTCATTCATCCAGGATAACTAATATTGCTTTCCGTGAACGAAAGTGTTAATTCGAATCGCGTTACGTTATCTTTAAGCCGGGATTAGTGCAATTAAATTTTAAAACTGCAGTAACTAGTAAAAACCCAATATAAATCTGAAAGGCGTTCCACGGCTGACAAATTGGGGGAGAAAATCCAGCGACGTTCTAACCGGCTGCATTGTGCGACTAGATACAGCTAGTGGCCCCTTGGTTGGATGTTGTGGCTGTTGCAGGAGACGGTGGTAAACGCGTGTGTGAAATATTGCAACATGATAGGTAGCTAGAATGAAGTCAGCCCGCTGATATGCGAACAACCAGATTCACCTGAGCCATATGCTTATCCACATCTTGAAGTTCGTTACATCGGGTCCAGAATACCCGGGCATATCGCTTCACTTCTTCGGGAGTCTTGCCTTCGACATCCAAAGAGATCGCTTCGAGATCATCACGGCCGTGTTTTTCGTTCGCTTTTATGAATTGTTGGAAGTCACGCTTGGACCAATTCGTAAATCCCTGAAGTGAACAATGAAGATGATGAAGATCACTACACAGGCCAATGGAAAGTTAAACTGAAGTATTAAGCCATAAGAAATCACCCCGAAAACTTTAAGAAAGGGCGAAACGGCAGTGTATTAATCAGAGCAAATGGAGATAAGCTATCATGCTTACAGATAATAGGTTTAGCCCTACATATGCCAGTCCAAAAAATGAATGTGTCACATAGCTGTCATGTGGAAGAGCAACTAACAATCCGTAGGCAAATGCTAATCCGAAAGCAATATCATCACAAAAACTGCCACAGCACTAGATAGATAGGCAAGGTTCACTAAATAAGCTGGAGAATATGGAAGCAAAATCCAATGAGAAGCAGGTGAGCTCCGGAGATTTCCTTCACGAGGAGATAATGCTTGAAATTTGACAGCATAAGTATTTTTCTGTCATCAAGAATAATAAAGTTACATGGCTACGGTGCAAAGTGAGGTAGCACTCAGATAAACAACACGTCGTGCTAACCGAATAAATATGGATACGTTGTCTCACACCTTTAAATTAAAATCTTCACGAATCCATATTCCCCTTCACGTGATTAGAGTAACGCATTTATCCAGTACTATTGAATTCTTTGTGAGTTCAATTAATGGTTTATTTACATAACACAGGTTTCGGTAGTGCTCTAGTATTTTGAAACAGAACTTCGCAATACGAATTTACTACAGACAAGTCAAGATAACCTAAGCAGACGACGCTAGGAACACCATCTTTGCAAGTAAGAGAAAAAACGGTAAGTTGGTGGGGTCGGGCTGCGTCCACCGCCAAAGCGATCGCTTGAGTTCCAAGTAAAGAGGCTCCGTAGCACATGATGTAATCTGTACAAAAAGGAAAAGGGCTACGGCGACAGAATCACTAGAGAAAAAGTGCAGTTCCGTTGAACAACTATGATCCGAACATCGAAGTACGGTGGATCTCGTTGCCACCCCTCACATAGTAGGAAAGCAATAAAAAACAACGGTAAATTAGTGGGATTAGATGTAAATAGAATGGGAAGAAATGGAGACAAGTAAGAAATGCGTCAGGCTGACCAAAATGGAGCGAAAATTAACAACTAGATGAAAGAAACCGAATGCAGGAACGCCACTGACTGCGCCATATCTGATACGGTCTCCAACCATTGGTGTGGACCATTCCGAGGCCCCCATCCACGAAGACGGCACGCACCAGCCAGACCAAGTCTCTCAGTCAATTTGTTCAAGCTTCTATGCCGCGTCATGGACTGGCCATCTCGCGGATTCGCCAAGCTTGGTGCAGCCACGGCGTATAATGCGCGCCGACGAAGCCGGGCAACGGGCATACAGAGCACATAGCCTAGCCAACGTAAGCGATTAATATTCATCAAACACTCCAGCGAGGCACCAGAAGGCTTCTTGCCAAAAACCAACTGGCAGACCTCAGCATTGCTCACCCGGTGTTCCCACCAGACGTGAGCAATACTCCGCAAGTACGGTGGACAAACACGACCAAGCGTTTAATGTCTTCATTGCGAATTGGTCAATTCTCTGATCCATACAGTAACACATGCAGTTCATCACAGTCTGCTTAGATAGTTTAGCCTATGGTGATACGCGAAGTAACTTCCTCAGCGATGTGGCCAACAAAGGTGACACAGCTACCAAGGTAAGCGAACCGATCCACCACTTTCAGTGTCTGTTCGGAAATAGCTAGAACCGTAGGTGTGTCATCATCATCATCATCACCATACACGTTAGGTGTAACATAACTCAGCTACTGTGTCACAATACATGAAAGAAAAAAAGAAAATAAATACGACAGTTGAATGCCAGCTGAGCTACCAGCAAGGGATGGGTCTCGTTCCGGTAGGCTACCAGCCGGTTTACTAGGCTACAAGAAAAAGTATGATGTAAAATTAAATTATGCTACGAAATGAGATCGTGGTTGGAGGAGGGACAATAAAACTCACAGCAGGAACGCCACTGAGATCGGCTTCTTGCCATGTCATCAAGTGTATCTAGCAAAACGCGTTCATCGTCTTTTGGTCACCAACCAGGGAGTCGTGAAACTCCAACTGAGGCCATCTCCGAAGTGAGGGCCTTCATTCCTCTCGACCAAGTCATCGCTTGGCCACCTCTCTTCTTCCATCCACACCCCGGCACGCAAACAACGCACGTCACGTGAGTCGGTGGGTTGGCATTCGCAACATGTGGCCCAGCCATCAGAGCCTGGTGCGTGAAATGACGGCATTGAGCGGTTCAGTTTCTTTTTCTGTGCCATAAACAAGGCGTCGAACAAGCTCGTCACTTACGCGGTGTTCCCATCAGATGTGAGCCAAACTGTGAAGGCACCGATGGTCGAACGTAACTAGCCTCATTATGTCCGCCGATCTTAGGGGCCAGGTTTCGCAACCGTACAGTAAGGTCGAACGTACCGCTGCATTGTACACTCTACCCTTCAGGGCGAGAGTGATGTCGCGCCGCCGTCACAGGTGGCGAAGACTAGCAAAAGCACTTCGAGCTTTTGCTATACGGTTCGTGATCTCGTTTTCAATCCCAAGGGCGATGATACAACTTCCCTGGTAGCTGAATTTTTGAATGACTTCTAGCTGATCCTCACCAAGGGTCAGCGCAGGAGGCGGACCAGGCCAATCTTGCAGGAAAGCTTTGCAATTCGATGGTGCAAAGCAAAGCCTGAAGCGGTTGACAGCCAGTGCTAATCTGTTTAGTGCAGCTTGGCACGTATGGAAGCTGTCACAAATGAGGGCAATGTCGTCCGCAAACTCCAAGTCAAGAAGTCGTTCTCCCGGGACCAGATCCACACCTTCTAAGTAATGTCCTGTAAATGCAATCTAAATGACTTCGTTAATAGCGAACTTGAAGAGGAAAGGTGACAACGGGCATTCTTGTCTCACACCGCTGGAGATATTGGAGGGTGGCGACAGCTTGCCGTAAGCCCTCACTCCGCTTGTGCTACGCGTGTATAATGCTCCGATAATAGTTACATATTTCTCGGGCATACCTTTCCTGAGTAGACAGTCCCAAAGGGAATTTCGATCAACCGAATCGAAGGCACCCTTGATGTCGAGGAACATGACTACGGTGGGCCGTCAATATTTGTGATGGTGCTCCAACAATTGACGGAAAGTGAAGATGTGGTCGATGCAGCCATGACCCCGACGAAACCCGGCTTGCTCTTCACGAATATGGTTTTCACGAACGCCAGTCAGTCTGTGAAGGATTACAGAAGCAAGAAATTTGGAGGTGATGGAGATCAGACTGATTTCTTTAAGGCTGCCGCATTCCGAGAGTGAGCCTCCTTTGAAAATTGGGACTATGACGGAGCGGCTCCAATCGGTTAAGACAGTTTCCTGGTCCCACAGTTTCACTAGTAACTCGTGTAAATCCTCCACAAGAGCAGGTCCCCCGAATTTGAAGAGGGCTGGAGGAAGATCATCTGGCCCCGCACCTTTATATAATTTCAACAGTCCGATCTCACGTTTGACTTCTGAGCGAGAGGGCGGATCCAAAGGAACAGCCCACGGAGCAGGGAGACTACTAGCCGGTGAGGAATCGAACAATTCCGGCTGATTAAACTGCTTTTCAAAATGCTTATCCCAACACTCCAAAGGTTTTAACAAATTGTGGATAAACTGTCCACGCTCGTCACAAATTGTTTCACTAACACCAGGTCTCCTGCCCCCCGTTTCCTGTATCAGACGGAATAACTTTCGAAGGTTACCGAGGAAAGCGGCTACTTCTTGACGCACGAAGATACCACCAGGATTCGCGATCTCTCTTCAGGCTAGCACAGAGCCGTTTGCGAGTTTCATTGTGTTCGCTACCAGCCAGAATATGCCGGCGAGCATCGATAAGTTCCAGAGACCGCGAAGAGACCCAATATCCATGTTAGCTATTAGACATAACACATGAGGATTTGCCTGCTGTTAGTAAGGTCTGGTGAACATACGACCAGTGACCTATAATTGTCGCCAGTGAGCGCTTACTCAACTCGCATGTCAGCGTACTTCGATACGCATTCGGAACAGCTGGCTTTGTCAGTTGACTGGTGTCAATGCGTTCACAGCGTCGTCGTGGGCGTCCGCCAAAACGCATCCGCATGTCAGCGCATACAAGTGCATGGTCGGTGTCCACACATGTGCTCCAAATCGAGCGACAGTTCTGAATACAACAGCTCCAGCGGTAACTGATAGCAATGTGATCGATCTGCGTCCAAGGCTGATGGGCGCCAAGTCACCCTCCGGCGAGTGCTGCGTACGAAGTTAGTTATCGCAAGAAATAAGTTGGCATCTTCACACAAATGAAGTAACCGCTCACCGTTATCATTACGGGAGCCTACACCGTGCTGACCGCACAAATGCATTTCAGCAGTGGACAACTTTCCAACTTGTGTTCAGATCCCCCACTAGCCCAACAGTGTCCCTGTTTCTTCTGTGGAGAAGGAGCTGAGTCAGTTGGCGGTAGAAGTCGTTTTTTACCGAATCATCGCAACAGTTTGTGGGCGCGTAGGCAGCGATGATGAATAGACGCCAAATAGTCCGGCGCAACTTCGAAGCTTTGAACGAGCCAGCCAATCAGACCGCACACAATCGGCTACTGATTGGGATCCAATCAACCAGAGCAGCTTCAGCCCGGAGATTCAGGGTAATGCCACCACCAGCTTGGCCGGTGCTCGAAGCTGCATCGTCACCGGATAGGTGCAATGAGAAAATACTGCTTGCGTCACCTGAAGGGGATCGCAGAGTGAGCACAGAGCTCGAGCCTTGCAGGCCGGTCTCCGAAAAGCAGCAGATATTGATGGAGAGAGTCTCTAAAGTTCGGCCAAGTGCTGCCTGTTGACCGATCTATAGTAATGTGCTTACATTGAGGGGTGTTAATCTGAAGGAGGAGCGAGGGCTCCAAATGGAAGCCGATGAAATGGAGTGGACCGCTTGATTGGACATGGGCTTGTCGACAGGACATGAGTGACGCTTCGCGTTAGCATGTAAGTTGAAATTAGAAGATAAATGCCTAGCAAAGCACGTTGGGGGAGGGCCAAGAATCGGGGGTTGAAAACTGGGGGGGGGGGATAAAAGTGAAGTTGGAACGGGACCATAAGGGGGAAAAAGCGTAAGATGGGGGAAGAGGAAGGCGGGAAGGCTTGAGCAGTAGCATCCGAACCCCTATCCACCCTGCTCGATACAGCAGATAGGGCACCGTTGATTATCCTCGGCGGTGGCCAGAGCATCAAGAGATTGTTAGGAGGAAAAGTCATGATGTATTGCGTGGGCAGGATACTGTCAGGTTGTCCAGGCCTAGACAGGAGAACGATTAGGGTTCTCAACCAAAGCCTTTGGTTTAAAAACCTTACCGCAAGGCAGTGGGTTTGGTGTTGGGCTACAAGGAGTCCGTTTTAAGGAATAAGATGCCACCATCATTCCAACCCCCAAGCTGGAGGACCAGGAGTTTGTCTGGCCTCTAACCATTGACCAATCTGGTATGAGTGGCTCGGAAGGTGCAAAAAAACACCACCCAGCATAGCTCAATGTATCACTGAGGCACACAAGCCATTGCACCATGGTCCAGCCTCATTACGATGGGAGGTGTGTCATGCCAGTCCTGCAATGGCATTTTGCACTTTGGAAGTGCAAAATACATGCCGAACCGTAAAGCGCTACGCGTCAGTATGGGCAGTAGTGTTTGCAAAGTCACCGCGTCAGACCCAAGGAGAAGTGTCATCCGTATACTCCATGTTTGTCAGTCGGTCACCAAGCAGAACATACACTCCGGTAGAGTCTGAAAGAACCGACTCATTCATGATCATTTCGATCATAAAGCTGAAGAGGGTTGTCCTATAGGACAGCCCTGGCAAACCGCACTTGCCGTATGGAACACAGGAGACAGTTTACCGTAGACCCTTACATGGCGTCGGGATTCAGGTTAGGGGGACTTTAGAATGGAAAGAAGTTTGGTCGACAACCTTCATGGATAGGCAGTTGCACAAGCTGGCGCGGTCAACAGAGTCGAAGGCGGTTTTCAAGTCAAGGAATACCCTCATAATCGGTCACTGTATGTGTCTCTGCTCTAACAGTTGGCGAAGAGTAAATATGTGGTCGATACAACCACGACTTGGGTGCACAGCAGCCGGCTGGTAGCTTACCGGAACGATGCCCATCAGTTACCGGTAGCTCAGCCAGCTTGCACCAGTTTCTTTTTTTCTCTTTCTCCTTTTTTCTATGTATTGCGGCACAATAGCTGAGGTGTTCCCCACCTCTAGCTAACGTGTATGATGATGATGACAACCACGACCATGGCAGAAGCTAGCCTGGTTATCAGTGCTTCGGTTCACACGGAGACCAGTAAGTCGGCGGATAACCGTGAGAAGTGTGGATCCAACGGAAACAAGGCTAATGCCTCGATGAGTTTTGCACAAAGTACACTGACCCTTCTTGAAGATGGGCACGGCAGTTGATAGTCACCAGTCTGAAAGCACCTCTTCAGTGTTCCAAAATGTGTTAAAAAGAGGGGCAAGTTCGGTTGGCAGAGTCACCTTCAACTTTCAGCAAAGATGGAGGAAGGTCGTCCGGTCCAGGAGCCTGGATTCGTTTGAAAACGAAAAGCTCATATCGATTCTCTTCCAAATTAGGAGGTGTGACATCAGCTTTTCACGTCAGCAGCAACCAGCAGTGTTGCAGCAGGCCTGCAGAAATGCTCCTCAAAATATTCCGCAGAAACGGACTAGTAGAAGACGCCGAGAGTGCATCAACTGTCCGTCTTTCTCAGCTATTGTTTCGCTAATTGATGGTCTTCTCGGACGTGTGTTCCGGATGACCTGGAACACCACTCGGCTGTTTTCAATAGCACTGGCTTTCTCCTTCTCACAATCCCTTGCCATCAACCAACGTTCCCGGTCGATTCGAAGAATCCTTGTCAGACATCGTTTCAAGGAGTTACAGACATGCTGAGACGCAGTACCCAATGGAACCTGTTTACGCGCTTCGATCAGACTGATCGATGCCTCAGATATCCATTCACAGTTACGATGGCAATGTATTCTCTTACTAGTAGCATCATCATCATCATCAACAGCAGTACATCAGCCATTTGAACTGATGCTTCACCGCCATACAACCATAAGGACCTATGAAATAAAGAATAATAAGAGGGAACGAAGGGGGACTTACCTGAAAACCTTAATGCCATAAGCAAACATTCAGGGGCAAGGCGCCTACACCTTGTGTTAACAACATACCGTCACAAACAGCTGGCTATCGTGCAAAGATAAGGCTGCATCGGCGAGACAGCTTCCTTGCGGCTTTCACTGCCACGCGTCATAATCAGCCATTACCCCGCAGATAACTCAGCACCAAACATACTTTAAACAGGCAATCCGATTAGGAGACGGCAGCAGACGCCCCACTGGTGTCTACTGCGAGCTATGTCCTGTAAAGTCTCAAGCCAAGCACAAGGCGAGTCACGTGGACTCCAGCCCCGAAGGCGAGACGGACCGACGGCAACCAGTTTGGTCGTCAGTGGCTTCATTTCCCGCTGCCAAGTAGCACTCTCACCGAGGCTCCTCTACGCTACTGTATGCTACTCCACAACGCACTGTTGATGTCACCTCGATTGGTGACGAAACGTCTGCAACAAAATTGCCAAGCTCAGCGAACAGTTCAACCGCCATCTAGTATCAATGAGAAGGCCAGTAACAAACAAAACAGTCAAGGACGGAAGATAATAAAAAGCGATGTGGTGTCAAGGGGATAATCACTAAATGCATGGGGCAAAATCGGGCGGCGAAAACAATACGTGACATGATTGGGTGTTGTTGCTCATGGAACGGCGCTGAATAGTATCAAAACCGACGAAGGAGCCAAGAGGATGATGTCTGGTTTTACGCTCTGAGATGGAAACCTTATACGTGCTAGCTTAAAGCTACATAAAATAACTGGTCAGTTATGCCAATGAGGGACGATAAAACATATGGAAGCGAAAGACAAACTTGATTGTATAAAGTCAATTGCACAGCCACATTAGTAGGGGCATCCTCAATGAACACAATAAAACAGAATATTGTGTACTTCTGGGTAAATCGAAGTGCAGCCTTTTTGACGAGATCTGATCACTGATAACAATCCCGCCCCGCAGGAGATGATAATAATAGAAATATGCGCGGCCGACCAAGTTCATGCGGAGATGCGCGTGGTCGCCGCGTATGAACTGCGTACAGAAGCAGTGAATTTCCTCTGAGACGTTCAGATGAATCAGTGAGGCTTGCCAAAAGGACATGCAATAACATAGTGTGAAAGGGAACAATTGACACATGGAGTGTAATCGGAACAGCGGAACAAACATTTTATAGGGTTGATGTACCTGTGTAAGTAAGGTTTCTTTTTCGGCGACTTCCTCTTCATTTAACGGCTCAGCCTCATCGATACGCATCTGCTCCTCCATACGTTCACGCTCTAAGTCCGGGTTTCCATCCGCACTCCGAGGGACTTTATATCCAATGCTCTTCCTGAAAGGTGAAGAGTCAAAAAGGGACCGTCCGAGTTTGTCAAGATTCGATGAACAACAAGATAACCTGAGAACGTTTGCCTACCTAAAGGCGTAAATTTCTTTGTCCAAAAGTTCGAAAAGCCGCGGAGGAAAGAATTGAAAGTCTTGTACGTTTGGTTGCTTCGGTGGTCGTGGAGGTTTTGGTGCTTTTGGCTCAGAAACACGAAGGGCTTCACGAAAATAGGCATCCACGGCATAGTTGGCCTTACGCTCGCGCTTCGGAGGTTCAATCCAGCCCTGCAAAGCACATACATAAAATGAAATAACCTTAACCGCAACTCCCCCATGCAGAAGAAATAGGCCATCGATTCGCATCACAAGGGGGAGAGAAAGGACTCGGTTTCTAAAGATGCAAGGTTATTAAGGAAAGAGGATTACAAAAGAAAACGTTCTATTCTCAACTACGGGAGGCAAGGAAGACGAACACCGACCGAAGTCAGAGCAAACAAAATTAAAACACCGTAGAAGAAGTGATTTTTAATCTTTAGTCATCGATTAAGTGCTGAAAAAAGCGACAGCTGCTGCTTTCCACTCTAAATATAGAAAATCCGAATCAAAAAACAAGTATGGCGCAGTTCACTTCAGTTCAGTTGAACAACGATTATCCGAGCACCGAAGTGTGGTGGATCTAGTTGTCACGACACAATTGGACAGCTTAACAATAAACAACAACGGAAAGAAAACGAGGTTGGATGCTAATATAATACAAAGAAAATGGAATCGGAACGGAAGTGCGTTAAACCAATTGGGATGGAATGAAAATTAGCAGCTAGCTGCAAGAAACCGGATGTTGGAACGCCACTGATTGCGCGCAGAGGATTACTTTATTAGGATGTAATTCAGTTTAGTGGCCATTCTGAAATTGAGTAGCTCCGATATTCAGAGGGCGACAGCTCAATTAGATAGCAACAGATAGTGGAGCCGATATAATAAATGGAGGATCCCATCACAATATACAGTAACCAGTTGAAACGGCCAAGTAATGATATGGTGACGAAGAAAGAACCCAGTGAAGTTGACTGGATACGCGATAGATGCTAAGGCTGAAATGACACTAGCGTGAAACAAAACGAGACAAATGAATGTATGGTTGATGGATTCATTGTAACGTTGTTGAGGTGACTCTAGAAAATGGAACAAGCAAACCAGGCTCAGATGAACATTCGATGCAAGCCCATCCAGAATGCCGGAATACTCCCCTTAAGTGATAGGAATCGGTCATATGAGTAAGTTCAATTACTTATGGATAATCGGAGACCAAAGAGCTGAAGATACAAGGAAGATCGCTTACACATGTAAGATATATAAATCCACGCCGAGTAAACAGATGTGTTCGCAGGACCTTGTCAAACTGTTTGCAGTATTTTGCACAAGCCGGATATGTTGACACTTGAAGCTACTCCGAAGTCACTCAGCATGCAACTGCTTGGGGAATCATTCTTCAACCGAAAAAGACAACGACAAATTGGGTATAGCATAGCTGTGGGTCTAAGGCTGCATAAATTGCCCGGTTTTGAAGGTAACACATTTCAGATTTCATGCAGCCAGAGGTAATACAACGTGGATAGTGAACAACGCCATATCACATGTAGTAACTTATTCACGATGGTCGTTGCCGTCGCCCGTAGCTCAGTGGTCTCAACTTCGGAATGGCAACAGCCGAGTTGCGGGTTCGAGCCCTACCAGAGTCCGATGGAATGCGCACTGCTGACGAATTCCGGAAGGACGAAACGCGTGTACAGTGCTTTTCCGGGCGTGTGATAGCTGTCGGAGTGAATCTAGATGCGACGAATTTCTACCTATACCATTCAACTCTCCCTACTACCCCTCCGTAATATGCATTCTGCCAGATGATCAAACAACCCGTTCATAGTCGAGAATCGATACTACACGATGACCAACGGTGAGCTGTCTGAAAACCCTTCAGTGGGGGCATACAGCAAATAAAAATCAATCCGAAAGGCTGATTACAACAAGTCTGCTAAATTAGCGATGATTGACAGAAATCAACCGCTGAAATGAGATGCACTCACACGCCATATGATGACAATAAAGCAGTGGACAGAAAAGTAAAAACGAAACGAAGATGACGGACGGTGAGAGTTGCAAAAGAGTTAGCATCGATAGACGAAGAGCAGGCTTTGTACAGATGCTCAGCTTCCACAACCAAAAACACCCCCTAGTGAAGGATGAGATGATGGAGAAGGGGGGGTCTGATGCGAAAACTAAATGTTATGAAAAAACGTATTTGACTGGTGATTCCGCACACCACACGGTCACAGCTGACTGTCGAGAGTAGAGATAAAGCATCATCAGTAAGACAACTTGCTTGCGAATTTCACTACGCCGCGTCACAATCAACCTCCTTCCACAGAAAACTAAGGTATCAGACAAACAGTGATCATATAGCCCGATTAGGAGACCACAGCAAAACGGGTAACTGACGCTGACTGCAAACCAAAGCATATAAAGCCTTAAACCATGTATATAGTGAGTTGTATGCATTTCAGTCTGGAAAGCGAATTGGACCAATAGTACCCAGTTCAGTTGTTAACGACATTATTTCCTACTACCAAATAGGCGTTTGCTTTCATCGAGCCTTACCCTAATCCGCCTTTTGGTAAACAAAGCCCTCTGCGGAAAGCAGTGAGTAGCGCACAAATCCATGCAACTTATTAAATAATATTTGTTTCTCCAGAGAAGTAACCTGATTGCCACTGCCTGGTGATGGTCTGCGGATTTCAGCGTTACCGATGTCTTCCCCGTCAGGAATTCTCCGCTCACAGCAACGACTTGAGAGGGCTTTAAGTGTTCAGAAAGAAAGGGACCAAGTCTCACTCACTTGAAGCCGAATGGTCTTCAATGGGATCCAGCACACACGGTCTTTGAGATTAAGCTGAGACCCTTGCTAGAGCCAAAAGCATCGCACACGCAAATCTGATGTTTGACGGGTCTCTGTCTCGGCGAGTTACAAATCATTCCACCCGACAATAAAGAAAACGAATGTATACACGTCAATCGTGACATAATTTCGGGAGTGGGAGCCGGCTGTTGAAGGATTAAATGAGGAGGTTTGTGCTGCTTTTATTTCGAACATTGAAATCATTTATGGCCATCGGTGGATAGCTTTTAGAGCAAGGTAATAAACAGACTAAGTACATGTTGATATGTACTGGGTAACATACCGCCTACGCCAGTGAACGGCAAGTGTTACTTCACATACGTTTGCGCGCATCAACGAGCTTAGAGTAGAGTATAGTCCATGCTGTCGAGAAATATGCACCAATACAGTTCCAATACATTTTCATCGAAAAAGCTGGAGGCGGAAACAATAGCATTAAACAAACCTCAATCCCTGATCCCTTTTGATGCTTTTCGCGATAATCTTCCCCTTCGAAGTAATACGCAGAATACGCGGCGCCACTTTCGTCGGGTGTGTCGAATTTGAGAGAGCGCAAGTTTGATTCCCCCAGCTTGGCCAACTTCTCATTTATTTCAGCCGTACGTTGCTCGCCTCTAGCAAGAATAATGTCAATATCCTCATCTTTGAGATCACTATCTTTGCTGCGAAAAATGTAATTTGCTCCAAATTTGATCATATCCAACACATCATCCTTATTAAGTTGGTTGGCCTTTTGTTCTACCAAACGACCTGAAGAAACAGGACGAAGATGGTCCAAATGAGTGTTAAAAGAAGGCAGATATGAAGGCCCTTGAATTAACAATGATGGTGAAGAAGTTGTCTACTTTAGGCGGCATGCAGGCGAAGGCAAATAAGTGAAGGGAAGAAATTCAGATAAATTCCAAAAGCGGCTACATGTCCATCAACAAAGACATAATGTCGTAGGTTGGAGCAATGAACGGAAAAAGTAAACTATTTGAAAACTATACTCTGTAGGTGTGTTATTACTGCGGAAAACATCTTGCTTGATCAACAGTAATCCGAGCGGTCACATGCAGGGTGCTGCCTACTATGAAAAGCACAAGGGGAGAACAGAAGCAGTTACAAGGAAAGATGAGACATGAATAAAGCGGCAGATTGAATGATAGCAACCAGAAGGAAAAAGAACTTGTAGAAAAAGTTAAGGTGTTAGTTTCTCATGAATTCATATCTATGATGGGCTTGCTAAATACGGTGGTGACCACAGAAAAGTAGACCAGGGAAAGCGGACAGTTTCCTTGACGCTTGGGCGAAATGGTCAGTAGTAATGATTGAAAAGATCATTGGTGACTATCCTGTCTATTTCGGCTGGAGTTGCTTCATTCGAAGACGCAAAAAACGAAATGCTGGTACTGGCCCGTAGCCTAAAGGCAGCAAGCTTGGCTTGTAATCTGACGGTGCGGGTTCGATCCAGCGTATGAACAGGGCAACCTCACATTATCTTTAGCCCACATGCTACCGGCGGTGGTTGCGCGGCAGCGAAGTGTCGGCGTACTGATAATGCCTTGTATAGCTCTACTGAACATGCTTTGGCGTGTAAAGCGCATCTTGAAAATAAAACGCAATATCATTCCCGTGTTGGATGGTAGAGTTTCCAATGCAACCATCAGTTCAAGCATAATGTACAGTTGTGAAGCTAAGTCAATCAAAGAGATAGATAGAAAGCGTAGGAACAACGGTGCCTTCGAAATTTGACACATATGGTGGGAACAACTCGTGAGCAATGAGCGTGTTCGGCGTGCTGTCAATGGCGCAGGATTAGGCAGTGAACCGCTCAGCGTTTTGCGAAAGAGACTCCGATGACTGGGCTACGTGTCAAGCATGCCAGCACACCGACTCACGCGACGTGCGTTGCCTATGCGAAGGGGGTTTGTATGGATAAGAGAAGAGGAGGGAGACCACGATAACCTCAGCAAGATGAGTGAAGGCCATCGCTTCGCGGTTGGCTTCGATCAGAGCCTCCCGACTTCCTGATTGGGGTCCGAAAACGAGGAACACGTTTGGCTGTACACATTAGTTGAAATGGCGAAGAACCAATCCCGATAGCTATCGTGTTTTTAGTTCCCTTATCCCGGCCAAACCCGCTTAGCCATGAGCTCGCCGTCAGTGCATAATATAAAACAAAACATATGTTGTTTTGTTTTTATTCCTTTTTTACTGCCACATAACTGTACTTCTGCACAATAACTGGAGTGTTTCTCACCCCAAGCTAATGTGTAGGATGACGAGTAGGACGATGCGGTCGCGCACTGGGATGCATTCGGATAAAGTACGCTATGTACCCCCGGCGCTTCGAATTGTACAAATAATTGACCCGACAGCGTGTAAATCTGCCATTGAGGTCGGAATTCAGTGACTGCAGATGAAATGGGACACAGCTGTCTCGCTTGAAGCAGAGAAGAAGCATACGTCAACTGTGAGGAGAGGTAGGGTTAGTGAGCGTTGCCTATTGGTCAGCCTTACACACTGTTCGGATGATGAAAGGCCAAACGGAGGATGGTACTCCAGAACTGGCCGCATGGATGGTTAGAAAATCCAAGTGTCTTCTTGTTTGACAGTCTGAGAAAGAGGAAAAGAGTAAGAATGATGTGGTCTTACGAGCGGATACCAGCCTCTTGGCGTTTATACAGTGAGAATTTTGCCATTAAATTTTTGCCTATAGCCGCGGACCTAATGAGTTAATCCACAAATTGGAGATGACAAATGATCACAGCTTGCTATCGAGCCAACTAAAGCGTGGAGGAAACAGGATGCAGCACAAGTCCCAACAAGAAGGTATCTACAGTCCAAAGTGAAGGGACGAAGCAGGAAGTAAAAGAACCTATCGTGGCAGCTACAACAAAATGACAAAAGGAAAGAATGCCAAATTTATGGGAAATTAAAGTGCATCCTGGCTTTTAACGGACTGTTTAGCACTCACCAAGGTAACGAAGATGCAAGGAATGTAGGTCGAAAAGTCATCCATCATCGGTAGCGCACTACCGAACACTACGTGTCGCATTGGTCGTGAAAGTTTCCGGTGTAGAGAAGATTGTAGTCCAAGCGGACTGCATGGTGATTCGTATGGTGCGATTAAGGAGGAACTTTGTAACCGGTCCATACGATGAAAGTAATCGAAAGTGCGGACAAATAATGCAACAAATTGAAACTGCGTGTCATGGGGGTATATAGTGCGGAATTTTAAAGTCCAGTAAGACGGATTATGCCGGAGGCCGTGGAAGACGAAAACGAATGAGTGCATGCATACCTTGTTGAATGACCAAATTGTCCAAGCGCAGTTTCATCTCAGCGCGCAATATGATTCGCTCTTCCACCGTGTTTTCGGTGATCATACGGAACACACGGACGGTTTTTGTTTGCCCAATCCGGTGAGCACGGTCCATGGCCTGTAAATCGACTTGCGGATTCCAATCAGAGTCATAAATAATGACGACATCAGCAGTGGCCAAATTGATACCCAAGCCACCAGCGCGAGTGGACAGCATGAAGACAAATTTGGTGGAAGAGGGACGATTGTACTCATCAATATAAACCTAAGTAGGATCAACATGAAAGAATATGGGGAATATTAGAGAGGACAAAATGATTATAACGTCACGATGGCATGGTGGAGATGTGAGAGTAATAGTTGACAGAGTTGAATACATGCTTCAGCGTGTGTCATTAACCACATGCAATAACAGGGTTAAGAGAAGTGAGATATCACGATCTACGCAAACGGGTCGTGGTCCTCGTGAGCCGGTAAAACGAGTAACAAAAAAGTGACGTTAAACAGAGTGGGGTTGAAGAAGAAGAAGATACTTCGCCAGTGCAATGAAACTAGACGTTAAAATAAGGTGAAGGTTTGCGTGTCTTTAAAATTCCCTAAGAAACGATGCGTATATTTATTAAATACCTCCAGATTCGCCCAATGCGGGCAGGTAAATGTATAGAGGTGAGACAATATCACATGCAACAACTTTCATTGTCAGGACTCTTCCCTAAAAATCTAGCGTTATGGTGATGGTCAGCTGTTGGTGACGACATGTTGTTGACAAGGCGTAGGCGCCTTGACCCTGAGTGTTTGTTTAGAGCAGTAAGCTTTTACGCTAGAACCCCATTTCTCCCTCTTAGTATTTTTCGTTCCGTAGATCACAGTGGTACGGCAGTGAAGCATCAGTTCAAATGGCTGACCCACTGTTGAAGATTGTGGTGACGACAGAAAGCTGTGTTATGTATGTTCGCATAGTTGAGCCGGTTTGCACAGCTTTTCACGATCACATATATGTCGGGCGTACACGACACCATACTGACCAGTAACACGGAGTAGGTTAACAGTGCTGCGTGAGCTAACTGACAGTACTACATTCACGCGCGCGAACGCACGCTCAACCTTGCAGCTGATTGGATGAACGTTTGTCGATTGATTGCCAACATACATTACGCCTGTAAAGAGACATCGGCAGAATACAGTTTTCACGATCGTCGTGCGTTTGTTCTGATTGCAGTTCGTGTGGGTTCGGCGTACCGCTGCAGTGGTTGGTTTGCAAAAAAGCCTATTGTGCTTCCTGGGACACAACATTGGCATCGCGACTACGAACCGCTGCAATGGCATTTCATCTACCACAGGGGTGTCCAGGCTTTTTGCAAGCAGGGTCACATTTGTAAAAATATGTCGGGCTATATTTAGTCTGACATTACTATAATAAGAAAAATCACACATGTACGAAAAAATCCAAGCCTGAATTTATTATTTCATGACGAGGTCGCGGGCCAGTTGAAATGTTAACGTGCGGCCGTATTTGGCCCGCAGGCCGGACTTTGGACATCCCTGATCTACCACCTCCGGACGCTTTCTGGTGTGATTCCAGTGTTAAGCCTACTGAAAGCGGTTGGGCTCAGTGGTAAACTTCTTTCCCTGAACTTACTACTGCCCAATGCTACTTAAAATGGAAATCAAAAGTTGAAACCTCTTCCTTACCTGTTAGGCAATGAAAGAAAATGGTACGTTGACGCAATGGAACAACAGAAGGAGGGCACGCTTACAAATCCACTGGATATATTGGATGGATCTTGAGGTACCCGACCCAATGGCTGGATTGCCAAACTACCTCATCGTAGTGCCAGCAGGGTGGTTCGGATGTAGCTCGTTCCAACAAAGTGTTCGGCGACAATGTTCCATCCCGGTGGGGCATTGTATTCCAGCAAATGTGCTGATTTCACGTGAAGTATTGGGCCCCTGTTTGATCATTCAGTCAACTCGTCCCAATGGATGCGATTACCTGAATTCGCCCCGTTGTCTTATGGGTAGGTTATTTAGCCGAAGGCTCGGAGAAGAGTCCCCTAATGCAACTCCCTACTTCGGCTTGGGCAACCGGGTAGTATCACACCCTCCCAAAAAATCATGGACTGTACTACAACATGCTCATCAGCTAATGTTTGCTTCTCACAGTTACGAGACTTAATCACATGCCTTTTGTTTGTTTGCTAACAATCCTCACCTTCCGTTACCCGATTCATGTGTTCAACAAACTGGATGCGATTCCGGTTGCGCCGCAGACCAAGGAGTTCAACCTATGGCTCTCCTTCGTCCCCGATCCTCGTTCCGTCTGGCGTGTTTCAACGTTCGGACACTCATGCAGATTGGACAGCAAGCCGGTCTAGCGCGCACCCTAGATTCCCTAGACATTGATGTCTGCTGCCTTTCAGAAACTCGACTGCAAGATCCCAGCACTGTACTCACATTAACATCCTCCACTGACCACGAAGCCAGATATCACCTGCCTCTTTCTGGAGATCCAGAAGCAGCCTCAGCGGTTTTGGCTGGTGTAGGTATAGCACTAAGTGGCAAGGCCAAAACGGCACTACTGGACTGGTTTCCGATAAACAGCCGACTATGTGCAGTGCGGCTTCGGGGTTCAGGTAGAATCAACAAGCACCGCGAAAACAGACGCAACTTGTTTGTGATCTCCGTGTACGCTCCAACTGACTGCAGTGGCGACTCGGTCAAAGACGAATTCTACCAGCTCTTGACTAATGCTAAAAAGTCGGACGTCGTTATCCGTGCTGGGGATTTTAATGCACGGGTTAGTCGCCTGTTACCATACAAACGCCACCTTGGTGGTCATCACGCGCTCGATGAGAACCGCTCTGATAACGGAGAGAGACTTCTCACATTGTGCGAAGACAACCGTCTGTTTCTTTCGAGCACTAACTTCAGGCGTACGAAGAAGCGTTCCGCGACGTGGCGTCCGCCTTCGCCAACACAACCTTGGTCTCAAATTGATCACATTGCGATTAGCTTCAGATGGCGCGGCAGCGTACTGGACTGCAGGTCCTTTTGGTCTACTTTCGTTGATTCAGATCATGCTCTGGTCTGCGCGAAAATCTGTATGTGTTTTGGAGGATCCCCAAACACGAAGCACCGCAAGATTGATGTAAACAGATTAACTGATTCCTCTGTTCGGAAGAGCTATCAGTCTTCACTGGCATATGCACTCAGTTGAAATCCAATGCGAGAAGTGGAACAACACTGGACTTGTATACGGAAAGCGCTGACCATTTCCGGACAGTCATGCTGCGGTCTAACTCGACGCCCTTTGAAGTCTTGGATCTCTGTTCGTTCTCTGGAGCTCTTCGAACGCCGCAAAGATATCTCCGCGGAATCAGATTGCAACGAGCGGCGCCGTTCTACCAACCGGCTGCTTAAGCAAAGCCTACGCAAGGATCGCGAGACATGGTGGTCTGAGCGAGCTTTAGAGATGGAGACTGCTGCCCTCTCTGGTAACACTCGCAGGCTTCTCCAACTCATTCGGTCCACTGGCATCAGGAAGCCTGGTGTCAGTGAGGTCATTTGTGAGGTGGATGAGTCTCCGATCACCAACCAACAGAGGCGTATGGACCGCTGGGCCGAGCACTTTCACTCGCAGTTCAACTGGCCTCCACCATCCACCAGTACATGCAGTACACCTTGCTGTCCACCCTGGCTCGTCCCTCTGAATCCACCCAGCGAAGCAGAAGTCTGCCTCGAGATTCGACGCTTGAAGCACTTCAAGGCTGCCGGCTTAGACGGACTTAATCCGGAACTATTCAAGTACGGCGGTGTGGCGATCATTAACCAGCTGACCGCGCTGTTCGCAAAAATTTGGCATGAAGAGAAAGTGACTTCCTTTTGGGGCGAATCAGTTGTTGTCCCAATTTTCAAGAAAGGCGCTCGCACTTCATGTGCAAATCATCGCGGGATTAGTCTTATTTCGGTTGCCTCTAAGCTGTTGGCATCCATTCTACTTCGTAGGCTATCCCCAGTACGTGAATCATACTACCGTGAAGAACAAGCTGGTTTCCGTCCTCGCCGCGGATGCGTGGATCAAATCTTCACGCTCCGCCAACTCCTTGAACATCGCCACATTTATCACAGGCCCACTATCGTTGCATTCCTAGACATACGTGCCGCTTTTGACTCCGTTGATCGACCTGCTTTATGGCATTGCTTGATAAAGAAGGGGGTGCCAGAAAAATATACCGCCATCTTACGAGCACTTTACCTTCATACATACGACAGAGTGAGGGTCTATGGCAAGCTTTCCTCGCAATTCGCTGTCAATAGCGGTGTGTGACAGAGCTGCTCTATGTCCCCATTCCTATTCAACTTCGCAATCAAAGAGACGTTCTGTCGAATGCCCTAGAAGGTTTCTAACATTTTGGCCTAGAGCTTCTACCGGGTGAACGCGCGACCGACTTAGATTATGCTGATGATATCGCCTTACTTGGTGACGATCCTCAGGATATGCAACCCATTCTGGATCGTTTGGTCGTTGAAGCACCTAAGTATGGCATGAGCTTTGCCCCCTCGAAGTGTAAAATACTGCTCAAGGATTGGCTCTCACCTGCTCCCGTGCTCACTCTCGAAGGTGCACAACTTGAACAGGTAGATAGTTTCGTCTACCTTGGGAGCTGTGTCTCTGCTGACGGTACTATCAGCAAAGAAGTTTCTCTTCGCATCGCTAAAGCCCGATCAGCATTTGCCAATCTAAGGCACTTGTGGCGTCGTCGCAACGTCTCATTCTCGCTAAAGGGCCGCGTTTACAGCGCATCAGTTCGCTCAGTATTGTTGTATGGGAGAGAGTCCTGGCCGATTCACGTGGAAGACATGCATCATCTTTCTGCCTTCGATAACGGTTGCATAAGGAGGATCGCTCGTGTTTCGTGGCAACATCGAGTTCATAGCAATGACGTTCGATATGGCATCTTGGGGAATGCGAGTATTCCATTCAACAAACTGGTTTTGTTGCGCCAGTTAAGATAGCTCGGTCACGTCCTACGCATGGCACCCGAGCGTCTATCGCGTCGCGCTCTATTTGCTCGTCAAAGACCTGGCTAGAGGGGACCACGTGATGGTCAGCCTTCTACATGGCGGCAGCACATGAAATCGCGGACGTTGTGTTTAGGCGCTGCTGGATCCGCAGGTCTTCTAGGATAGGGATCCAAAGATGAGAAGTGCCAATGGCTTGAAGACATGGCCCACAGCCGGAATCAGTGGAAGAAATGTGTACAG